TTCCTTCCTTCCTTCCTTCCTTCCTTCCTTCCTTCCTTCCTTCCTTCTTTCCTCCCTCCCTCCCTCTCTCCCTCCTGCAGCACATATGTCTTTAGCACTAAGGGTATTTCTTTGTAGCAAAATGATATCATTCTATAATTGTAGTATTATAAAATAATCTCTCTATTGTGATGAAGACTTGTGTTTATCAGTTTTATTATCAGTGAAGAGTAGATAATTTTTTTTCCCTTACAGCATCCATCCACTTCAATTCTATTTGACAGCACTTTCCTCTCCTCCCAATTTATCCCTAAATATCAGAAGAGCTATATTGTTTCATTCAAATGATTTCAAAAGGAGAAGGTATTCTTATTGCCCAAACCCAGAAATTGGGGGTGGAGGGGAAGATCCTTCTTTATTTTGTTTGTTACACTTGAGGGGGAGGGGGAATGTTGTTTGTTTTTGTGCTAGGCCAGAAAACTTCAGAGTTCTCCATCTTTGTTTCAACTTCTCCTATTTTTCAAATTGGTTTCTCCTTTCCCAGAAGCTCTCTTTTTTGTTAGGTATTTCTAGCAACTATAGTAGAGCAAAATGCTTCTGCTTTGTGTTTTCAAGGCTAAACCTTATCTTCTCTGTTTGCTTCTGATTCTGTTACAAAAGAAATTAATCTTCTGTGTGTATCCAAGTGGAACAACCATAGAAAATTTCTACCCATAAGAAGTCTTCCTTCTCTCCTTGAATCTTGTCCTCATGAAACATAATACTTTTGAAGCTCAATTTTATGCGATATAGAAGTTATATTATTGGATTTTTCTCATATGTTACTTTTCAATGAAAAACGATGGCACAAGAGAAGAAGAGTTTAAACCTTTCCTCAACATCACTCGCTAATTAAACATTTATGGCTGGCTGCTGCTCTATGACAGAATAAAAACAATTCAAATTGTTTCCCAACTCTGGGACAATCAACAACTTTGGGGGAAAAATGGTCAGAATAAAAGGTACTGGAGGGAAAAGGCTTAATGCATCTTCGATTGTTGGTAGATTTTCTTAAACATACTGCTTTTCATTGTTTATTTCTTTTACATTTTGGGTGTCCTTAATGTTACTTAACATAGCAATCAAAACAGCATTATAATTTTTTTCTAGTAAAAGCTAAAATGTTTAGCTTTCCTGTTTGAACCATTTATCAGTATGCATTTAGTGAAGGATGAGGTATATTTAAAATAAAGTTTGAACTCTCTTCCTGATGTCACATAAGAGAAGAAAAAATGGCATTGCAAGCTATCTTGGACTTTTTGTATTTGTGCATGTTACATTAGAATCTAGTTCAGTGTTAATCAGAAAAGGTACTTTATTTTAGCTTGATTTTTAGTTGATCTTGTCCTCTGTATAAAATTTAAAATGTTTTCCCCCATAACTGCTCTTGTATACACTCCTTCAGTCCAAAAGGATAGGACTACTTCAACAAAACCAAGCAGAAACATGTAAGCCACTGAAGATTGTATTAGAGAATAGGAAATGCTGCTGAGGCCCATCCTGTGCAAAAAGTCCTCCTCCTTGAGGAGCCGAAGCTACTGCTTGGTTTTATAAAACCATTCCTTTGGTACCAACAGTCAGTTATTAATGAAAATGTTTTTGGAATATATAATACAGACAATACCTCAGGAAGATTTTTCTTGCAATAAATATTTGATACCTGAGGATTTCTTACCTTTGAATTTCACTAGGAAATTGGCTGTGCACTCTTCATGGAGACCCCAATTGCTTTCTATCTTTGAAAGCTTGAGATGACAATCTGTAGACAATTTCTTCTATTCAAAATGATCAGATGCAAGAAGTGGGGGGGGGAGGGGAGGAATGGATGGTAGGGAAAATGGCCTTACCTCTCTGTTCCTGGATCCGCGGTTGATGGGTTGTGAGGGCTCTCATGAATACTGTGCCTTGGTGAAGAGAGGCTCACAGCATGCGAGGGGGGTTCATTGCCCACAGCAGTTGCACTTGGATTTGAATGAGTGCTGGAGAACATGGTAGCTGTAACCGTGCAAAAGCATTCCCAGTTAATATGAAAGGCACGTTTAGATTTGTCCTTCAACTGTGCATGATTTTGATTTTCAAAAGTAATCCCAGAAACATGAGCTTCCTTTACATACAGTTATATATAAACAGAGCCTAGAGAACCATCTGCAGGGGATCCTTTTTTATTTTCTTTTTTTAAAGCCTTTAATATAGTTTTTAAAAAGGAAAACAAATATACTAAGTATGAAAATAAAAGAAAAAAACACATTATAACTAGATGAAATACAATGCATAATTATAAGAGCCGTGGTGGCGCAGTGGTTAGAATGCAGAACTGCAGGCTACTTCTGCTGATTGCCGGCTGCCAGCAGTTCGAGTCACACCAGCTCAAGGTTGACTCAGATTTCCATCCTTTCGAGATCAATAAAATGAGGACCCAGATTGTTGGGGGCAATAGGATGAGTCTGGAAACTCCTTCAAAACGGCTGTAAAGCACTGTGAAGAGGTTTAAGTTTAAGTGCTATTGCTATTGCTATTGCTATAATTGAGCTGTACTATATATATGTAATACAGCTTAATTTTTAAACAACTTGTAAACAGTCATGTCATCTAGTACTTCCATTATTCAATAAGAGCCAGTTTAAAAACCAAGAAAGTAACATTTCATCAATATCTTTTTAAAAATCGATTTTGATACATTCCATTAACACATGCACTTCAAATTTTAAGGATCTTGTTTACAATACATTACTATATTTAAATCTTTAAGAGAAAACAGCACTGAAAAATATTTATCCATAACAATCCCCAGAGGTTACTCATCTTGCTCAACTGCTTAAGGAAAACTCAAAGTTCAGAACGTTTTACTTAATTAAAGGACTTGGAATTGAATCAGTTTTTCTTGACATATACAACCATCTGATATGCTTGCCTTTTTTGAGAGCTAACTCTAACCCTAAAAGATCAAAATATCCTTTCATTAAGTTCTTTAATTTCTTTCTGCATAGAATTAATTTTCCATCTGAGTTTATCAGCTTTAAGGATGTACAGTACTTCTATTACATATAATGAGTAGCTGAAATTATGATACTTGGCTCAATTCCACATCAAAATTTGGAACTGTAAAAAGTTGAACTGATATTTCAGTTGGAGCAAGATAACCAAAAATAACCAGCTTTTTAAAACAATTAAATATAAGATTTTTTTTCTCTCTCAAGCAGGAGTTACAATATTTCCTCAATGGGTGATATAGCAGAATATAGGTGGAAGTTACTTCTTGTGTTACAAGCTATACCTTCTCCCCAAATGTCCAAACTTAGTAGTCAAAGAAGATACACGTCTTCTACAATCATTTACAGTTTTAAACTCATAAAGATCAGTGGAAATTAACTGAAAGTAACCCCCTTCTATCTTGGCTAGAATTCCTACTTTTATTTGGATTCCAGTCTTAAGTAAGACTTAGTGGCATAAAATCCTATCTAGGATTCCATAATTCAAATTCATAATTTTACCATCATGTATTCTCTAAAACTATTAAAGAAGCAAATATTGAAAGGATGTTATTAAAGTGCAGATTTCTACCTAATGGCAACCCCCCATACAACTGCAGAACTAGAAAAAAACTTAACATATTTGTAAATGAGTTGTCAAATCATAAAAGAAATCCAGAGGCATAGTTTGAAGAGCTGCTAGTATCATAAAATTATAAAGTCATTATGCTAAAGTTCTATAAATTTGGTGGGACTGACAGAAGAGTTACATGTTAAAGTGGAACATGGAATTCATGTTTGTCAGAAGAAGACTTCACTCCTAGGGTGTCTGTGGATTAAAATTCATTATTTCAATTGGTTTTAAGGGAAAAGTTTATATAATCTAATAAAGGGATGTCAGTATCAAAATGCACAAATGCACAAGCTACTAATCTCACACAAAAAGCATAAAAACTCAAGATATATATACAAAACAGTCCTTCTTGTTTCTCAATTTTGTCCTCCTTCTAGCCTTATGGCCTTTCTCCAGTTGATAGTTTCCATACATCTCATCCTGCTCCTTATATCCTCTCAGTTATCACAATGCCTACCCCCATTCCTCAGACAGCCTAAGAAATGATAAAAATGTCTTCCCCTAGTTCCCAGTTCTCTTTAAAAGCTCCCTCAATTTCTGTGAGTCCTCTTTTCAATAATCAAATAAAAATTGTTCAATTGTTCTCGTTCCTTTGGGAACGAGAAAGGCGTATGATATTAATTCTAGGGATAACAAACTCCTGGAAACTGGTATTACAAACCACTATGAAAACGTAAGATAAATTTTGATTTCCCCATACATCCATTGCTTATTAAATATTACTAAAACAAGGCATTTTGACTGGTGGAAAATTTTAATCACTACTGTCATTTGAGCAGCAAAATATTGTAATCAAACACTCCAGCAAGGAGTGGTTAAAAGAATAATGAATAATAATAATAATAATGGACAGGGTGACAGTGTTAATATGAAGGAAGGAAATTGTTTGCTCTTTATGTTTGCCTATAAAGACATGGGGAATTTTTCTTTTGTTACTGGAATGTGACTGGTGCCAGTTAGGATGCCGAGACTGTTTTGATATGATTTTGTGTGAAATAATTACTGCCACTATTTTGGTAAAGAGATATGTTTTGTATACTTAATCTAACTAGTTTTACTATGTCACAGCGAAGGACCATAAATTGATGCACTGAAGTGCTGGAACAAGGCAAAGGTTCATTTAGAGTCCAACATTGGGTTTCCAATAACAGACAGCTAAAAAGTATGAAGTCAACATTCCTCCTTTGTAATTTATCCCCTGGCAACTAGCATTATAGGCAAGCTGATGCTGAACCGGAGGTGTGGGTTGCCTGATTTTGTCACCATTACTAATATTCATTAATAAGGAGACCTGGAACACATTTTTGCTTTGTGCATTCAGCTGCAGAATAGTCTATTTCACTCTAGAATAGAATAGTCTACCCTATCAGCATTTCGTGGCTGCTGTGCGTATTTTCTTAATGATTTATATTTCTAAAAGAACCTTCACAGCTTTAGAGTTCCCTGAGACTGGAGATAGAGTACTGTTATTGGGGCGGGGGTTATGTAGTTTGTTTTAAACCCCTCCAAATTAGACTCTTACCGGATTAGATGGAAACCCCCACCAGAATATTCCCCAAGAAGTAAAAAGAAATCCCCACGGGAAAATACCCCCATCTTTCCCATTTTTTTTTTAACTGTTCATTTCCGACCACTGGTAATGCTTATTGCCAGAGACCTTGTCTCCATTCATATTCATATTTAAAAACATTGTTTGAATGACAAATTAAGGTGGAGATACAATGTATCCGGTGACCTCAAAAGCTGGAGAAAGGCAATAAACTCAAAATGCTGGGATTGCTCAGAGCGATAGCATTGTAGGCAGGAGATTGATCACAGAAAGCAAACCAGATTAAAAGGCATGAGAATGTAACACTTATGTCTAAACTTCCTACATCTAAAGAACTCCAGTTATTGTTCTTGGAATAAAAAGAGGGGCCTCTTTTGCTCGTGGTCTTTTCCCGGCTCAGAAGAAAAGAAACCCAGGGAAATTCTCCCAGTTATAACATTTAAACATTTAAGGAATGTTACTTATGCTTCAACTTCAGAAAAAGAAAGAGATATAGGCTGGCTGTCCATGAACTGTGTGAAAAACTATACTGTTTTATCTAGTCTTAATTTATTTCCAATTTCCTTTTAGATGTGACTAAGTAATCCTTAGATGGGATTGAAAGAGTGATATGGGCAGAAGAGATTTAACAAAACTTTCTCCCCTTGGTGGATGAGAGGGGTATTCTGATTTACGAGGGAAAGCAATATACCCTGGGTGTCAATAGGATATTTACTATAAGTGTAAGTGCTACTTTTTCAGTATAATGAAAGAGAAGTATACCTGAAAGAGAAGGAAAAAGAAAGAGGGAAATGACTCTGAAATATCTCCTTCCATTTTTTCTGCCTACTGCATGCATAAATACATGTGTGCATACATACTCACGGAGCTATTCTATGAAAACAAGTATATTTTTGGGAACTGAAGATACCATCTCTTTATCTCTAAATGTACATCCACACGTCTACACATGGTGTGTAGGTGTGTATGCATATTTATGAATGTATGTTAGAGAAAGAGATAAAGAGAGAAGAGAGACAGATAATTGTGATAAATATTTAGTAAAAATTATGCAGTCATTGTATAATATCTCATCACTTGGATGCTTCTCAACTCATACATAATCTATCAAAAACAAAGCATGTCTGTATGAGGCTTCACATTTATCTGTTCCAAAAGAAAAAGAAAAAATACATAGAGGTAATGGATAATGTTATTGCACTTACAATTAAGATATGACAGATAGCATTCTTAAACTGTTGCCAAATTAGTGCTTAAGAACACTTTCCCTCTAAGAACAGAAAGTACTCTATAATTTAAATATTTTTTTTCCAAATATAGAATTGCCATCTTTTCTCATCTTAATTACTGGTACTGTTGAAATTCATTGTCCTAAGTATATTATTTGTACACTGTTTTTCAGATTAAAAAAATATCTCCTCTCTTTAAATATGCCTAGCTATTTTTTATAAGCCAAATGTAAAAGTACTATAAAGGTTTCTCTTTTATGTCTGAGGAAGTGTAAAACGAATGGAACTATCATTTGAACACTACTGTTCAAACTGACAGCCACTGCAGTTTAGGAGTGCAAAGGCATATTTTTAGATATCATTGAATACACGAAAATTACTTTTTAATATTTTGGAATGTATTTATTGACTAAATTGAGCAGCTTCACAATACTGCAATTAAATATACCAACGTGCTCACAGATATCTGTCTTTTCATATTCCTTGGCCTATTTGATTATTTACATATGTTGTGGCTGTTGTTATGAATGAGAAGTTGTCATGCTGCAAAGTAATTGATGTCAGTCTTCAGTATCCTCTATTTTCTTAAATACTTCTGGGCATCCAAGTTTTTGTAGAAAATGAAAAGGATGGGGCCATTTTCTGGGAAAGAGGACTGAAAGGGTAATAGAGAAAAGTACTGGCTTTGTAACTAATTGGGTCCCCCATGGCAGTCATATTCTGCCCACTTTGAAAGTGGTGGATATATTTAAGGCTTAAATTAAATTGCATTCTCATAACTTGAGTTTCATATTTTCAGCTTTTAAAATAATGGTACTATGCTCTCTTACATGGAGTGAAGACTTAGAATGGAAACAAGTACCTTCTCCAATTTACTAGAAAAGGAAAGCAGCCATTTGGACCAAAATTAAAAATAAAATAAAATACTTAAACAGATTTTTGTCCTCAGAATCCATAGCGCTTATTAGCTAATTACATATTTATACATAACTTAAAAGATTCATTTTATGAATCTTTATGAATATGAACTTCCTAGTGATTTTGATGGTGCTAATCTCATTAGGTAACTCTTAAGACTGCTTTCTTTTACTTATTTACTTTGACATAAACCCAATTAAAAGGACTTATTTCTAACCAGATGTGTGTAGTATCAGGTTGTTTACTGTTTACACAAAAACTTCACAGATCAATTAACTCAATATTTTAAAAAAAATCCATGATTGTATGTGATACTACTCATTTTATAATTAAAGAATTTCTCCCCCACTTGAATAAACAGCTAACAAAGGGAAAATGTGTTCTACTGTATTGTGGAAAATAAAAGATTTAAGATAGCCTGTCATAAATAAATGCAAATAATGGCAGTCATCACTATTTCATTTTTAAGAGGACAAAACAAAAATTTTAATGAGAAACTCTCTTCTGAATTAGGAAAGAGGCAGCTCTTTGGCAGGGGAAAGATCTGGTGCAAAGACCTTATTTTTTAGCCAAACAGATTTTAATTCATAGCTCACATTTATTGCTTTGCGGATTTCACTGGCTCTTAATCACAAAAGCAATAAGAGTTTCCAATATGTTCATCTGTCTCTCTTAATCAATTGTTCCAGCTGCCAATCACTAAAAATATCTGAAAGCAAATTTGAATGGCATCAGCAAGCCAACAAAACAGCTATGATGTTTTTAGAAAGACTGATGGAACTACATTGTGAATTTCACTTTTCCTTCTATATCTCTGCCATGTATATTGTTTCAGAGCATGTTCATTAGAAAAGAAAAGGATAGGATAGGTTAGGATAGGATAGAATTCTTTATTGGCCAAGTGTGATTGGACACACAAGGAATTTGTCTTTGGTGCATATGCTCTCAGTGTACATAAAGAAAAAATAAAATACATTCATCAAGAATCATAAGATACAACACTTCGTGATAGTCGTAGGTTACTAATAAGCAATCAAATCATACTAGGAAACAAAACAATATAAATTGTAAAGGTACAAGCAACATGGTTATAGTCATCAGTGGGATAAGATAGGTACTAGGAAGGATGAGAAGAGTAGTAATACATTGTGTAATACGCAATAAATAGTAATTTACTGTGGTGAAGTATAATACCAGCCTGTTAGAATATTGCTGATGCTTTTCCTTCTCAAAAATTAACTCTGAAAATAACTATAAGAACTATAGAGTAAAATTAATCACAAAAGTTATAATAGGCTTTGTAATTAAAAGGAGGTGTCTTATTACGAGTTCACCTGATCTGTTAATAATAATTATCTATTTTTCAAACCATGTTGTCTTGAAAATTGATGGGGTTCTGAAAAGACTAAAAAATTAAAAAAAAACCTTTACTCAAATACAATCAATATTCTATCAATAAATCTTTCCCTCTAATCAAAGTTCTGGGAATTTTGGTTTCTTTTAATTAACAGGTTAAAAAGCACGAAAAAAATGGAATGTTTTTCAAATTAATTTAGATTAATTCCTGGCCTCTTTGTCTGTAGAATGGACAAAACACATTTTACATGTATTAATTTCTCTTTTCATATTGGATTGTTTCTTATCTTTACTAAGTCTGGGATTGCAAAGGAATCTTTTATTTTGCAAAGATCTTTTATTTTGTTCTGTATATGCAAAAGAAGCAATTTGAGCAGGTGCAATTCTCTGACTTTACACAGATAACCCCAGAAGTGGGAAGATGTCCAAATGTGAATTGTGTTGTTGTGATGCAATCTCCCCCGCTCACATAACTTGTGTGCATCATTGGTCTAGCCATTTTAGTATCATTGGAGCTAGCTTCAGATGGCTATGAACTGATATACAACGATCAAGTTGTTTGTTTCATAAATATAAGATGCAACACATCTTATTTGTATATATATAATTTTACATCTTCTGTATAGGTAGTGCTCAGTGTATATTCATTAGTTTAGTGGCCTTTCAGTGTTACAATGCCACTAAAAAGTGATTTATGTCCATTTTTCACACTTACGACTATTGCAACATCGCCATAATCATGTAATCAAAATTTGGTCCCTTGGCAACTGTCATGTATTTGTGATGATTGCAGTATCCTGGGGTCATGTGATCTATGACCTGATGAATAAAGTCAAGGTGGAAGCCAGATTCACTTAACTGAACTACTGTTGTGATTCACTTAAAAACTGTGGCAAGAAAGGTCGCAAAATGGGGCAAAACTCACTTAACAACTGTGTTGTTCAGCAATGGAAATTTTAGGCTCACTTCTGGTCGTAAGTTGAGGACTACCTGTGTTGTGTCAAGAAGAGAACAAAAGAGGTGTTCAAAAAAAAGGAAGCTCAAAATCCCCCAAACCGTGTGTTTGGATCCTCAAGGGCAGAATCACTTTTACAATCAACACACAATTATTTTATTTTAAAGATTTGTTATTTCTCATTCTTAATTTTAATGCAAACTCATAATTAACACAATATACCAAAATAAGGCTTTGTCAAAATGTCATGGAAAGATATATTAGAGTAATAACTTTCATTAAGAAAGAAAAACATGACGTTCATATTTTTTTAAAAAATATTTGTATGTAAAATAATTGAGCTGCCTGTTTCAACATTTTAAAATAATCTTATATTTTCATGTTATGACATTAATTGTAATTCGGTTTTATCAAACCAATAACCTTGGAAAATCTTTTCATTTCAGTTCTGTTCTATTTTCTTCCCAAGTAATTAAATGTTTTCCATGACACCTATTTCCTTTTTTCTTTGCTTCATATAGTAGAACTTTATTTCTAGATTAGGAGTTACTGAAATAGCTACCTAACAAAACCTATAGCCTGATTAATCAGACAGAAGCAATATTAAAGTACAGTATTTCTTTTCTGTATGCCATGAAATAAACATGCCATGTGATAATGTGCAGCAATGAATACATGGGATTCCATTCAACTAAACAGCAAAACATAATAGCTTGTACTTAAGTTATGAATTAAATTGATTGTCCAAGGGTCCAATCAAATAAACTCCTAGTGCTACCAATCAAGAAGCATTATGTAGCAATTGCAAATTTCCCCTTATAATAGGTTTATTTAGGCAAAAAAAAAAAAAAAAACCTGGAAGAAAATATGGGTGAAAGGAAGAGTTAAAAATGGAAAACAATGTTTCCTGGCCTCCCCTGAATATTTCATTAATTACATGGTGTAATTAAGCAATAAATGCTTTACTTGGAAGCATCCTCAAAAGCTTGTGAATAAAATATAATGATTTTATCTAAGAGCAGTAATTATTGAGAATATTTTGTCAATAATCTCAATGTTATATTCTAGAATAAAATTGTTTTACAATGACAATATTTTTTTAAAAAAATATCAAAAACTAAACAAAATGGGGTGTTGGTGTAAAAATCACATAAAATTGAAGCAAATCCATTAAATGACATTATTAGTTGTTGTTTTTAAGTAGGAAATGTTTTATAACGATTCTATGTTTTGCTACAAACTTAAATCTACAAGAGATATTGTTTATCAAGTATATACCCAGTAAATTTTTGTAAAGATTTAGGGAGTCCATTAAGCATTTTGAGGAAATGATTAGTTGGGCTAAAACAGCTACTTTCTTTCCTTTTTTTCATATTACATCTGGAAAGATAAATCTATATTAGGCTTGTAGCAATAGATACCTGACACATTCTTTCTCGCTCACAATTTACACTTTTTTTCTGGAAGAAGAGCTGGGAAGGGATTTTTCAAGTAATGTGGTCACATTTCTTTGAATTATTTTGTCTATTACCATATTTCTATGTATTATTATTTTTAAAACTCAACAACAACAAAGAAACACAATTACACCATATCTGATGTTGTTTTGAAAATCTAGATCTGGTTGGTTTGACATCTCTGAACCCAAAATGTAACAAATAAAAAAAAATCACTACGATACCTGGATAAAGGTCATGGACATGTCCCGGTGATTGTTGGACAGTGCTGGCAGAAACATCATGGGGAGATGAAGGGACCTGAATGGGCTGGATAGTCAGGCAGTCATTGAGAATGTCTTGGTCAAGTTCTGTAGTGGCACGCAGCTGAAAGCAAAGCAGAAGGTCAAGCTAGAACTTCCTCTGAATCACAAGATGCCCCGCTAGCATCTTTTAAAAATGGATTTATTTCCAAAAATACAGCCAAGGGGAAGAGAGGCCAGAGGTTTCACTGTGTCATACCTTAAGACTTATAGATAATAAGGATTCCGCTTTTACAGCCAACAATACAGAGTCCAAATCTGGAAACTGATTACCTATTATATGTACTAAAAGACCCAAAAAAGGGGGGGTGAGGGGAGGAATATAATTACACCTACCTCTTAAAACTATTCTCAAAATATGGAATTCAGGGTTTGTACTGTGACTGAATAACAGTGGCTGGTTGTCAGCTGCCAGTTCAGTTTATGCTAATCTCAACTATAATTCTTCAGCATTTTTTCCTATAAAGCTGTATGTAGGGTATATCTTCCCTAGAACTTTCTATAATTTTAGGCAAAACAAAACAGCGTTATTAATACTTGTTAAACTTTAAAATAATTCTTTATACTTGGGATTTTGTCTAAGGTTATACTACATAGCTATTTTTAAAAAGTAAAAAGATACTCAAAGGAGTTGTTGTTTTTTGGACATTTCTCATTCATCTCCATCCTTCATCTCATAATAAGATGTTTCTCATACTGTAACCATGAACTCCATTTTCACCAGCCATTTTCATCACTTTCATGCATATGCATTTCTGAGATCAAAGCTACATGTTTTTTTATTCATATTCTTAGTCTATGTTCTGCAGTTAATTTTAATTACTATGAGATATTGTTCAAAAGGGTAGCTTTTCCAAAAAGAAGTTCAAGGTTATATTATTTACCCTACATATTTACTTCAACAGGGTTTTGTTTTTACTTAAGCTCACTGGCAATTTATCAATTTTATATACCATGAACATGACTCTGTCTTCCAGAGGCATTAGAGATATTTCGATGAGGGGAGGAAAAGAAAGGAGTAGAGGGGAAAAAAGCAGTGTGATGGTTTATAGAAGCCTGATGGAGAATCATTTAAAATAACTACCAGAACTTAAGCAGAAAATAAGTTTCTTAATATACTGTGAAAAGAAAAAGTATTGTTTCTTAGCATTTGAAGAACAGCCTGAGCTCTAGTGATAAGATTGGTTGGACACCTAAACTTAGTAACTGAATCTTTATTTATTTATTTATTTGATTTGCCAATTGTTTACAAGATAATAAGTATAAGTGTATACATAGTTGTGAATACATGAAATGGGTACATATAAGAAAAATAAAAGAAGAATAAGAGAAACAATAGGACAGGGACGGTAGGCACGTTGGTGCGCTTATGCACGCCCCCTACAGACCTCTTAGGAAAGGGGTGAGGTCAATAGTAGACAGTCTAAGGTTAAAGTTTTTGGGGTTTGGGGAAGAGACTATAGAGTCGGGTAGAGTATTCCAGACATTGACCACTCTATTGCTGAAGTCGTATTTCCTGCAATTAAGTTTGGTGCGGTTTACTTTGAGTTTGTATCTATTGTGTGCTCTTGTGTTGTTATGGTTGAAGCTGAAGTATTCATTGACAGGTAGGACATTGCAATGTATGATTTTATATACCATGCTTAAGTCAGACCGAAGACGGCGTAATTCAAGGTTTTCTAGTTTTAGAATTTCAAGTCTGGTGGCATAAGGTATTCTACAACGAGTAGAAGAGTGGAGAACTCTTCTTGTGAAATATTTCTGGACTTTCTCAATTGTGCTAATATCAGATACGTAATGAGGGTTCCAGACTGATGAGCTGTATTCGAGTATTGGTCTAGCAAATGTTTTGTATGCTCTGGTTAGTAGTGTGATATTACCAGAGAAAAAACTACGTAGGATTAGGTTAACAACTCTTAATGCCTTTTTGGCTATGTAGTTGCAGTGGGCTCTAGCACTTAGATCATTAGAGGTGAGTATTCCAAGGTCCTTTACAGAGCTTGGGTCATCAACAAGATCTTGACTATTCAGCTTGTATTTTATTTTCTGATTTTTTTTGCCAATATGTAAGACAGAGCATTTATTTGTTGAGATTTGAAGTTGCCATTTGTTTGACCATTCAGATACATAGTCAAGATCTTCAGTCCTCATGATTTATAGATTACAATGGGACAATAAGTTATAGATAGAGAGTTAAGGATTTTTCTTATCCCCTCTTGGTCTATTACTCAGCCTATTCTTTAAGAAATTATTACTCTAAGTTAACTTCCTTCTGTCTTTTCTTCCCAAATGCTGGTTTCAACACTCAGTAATGGTCATATCCATACAAAGACACTTCAACCTTTAGCAAACTTATGATTGTACTCTTGAAGTAATCATCAATGGAGTTAATGTCCAGATAAATACGCAGAGGAGTGGAGTCTATTTAATTTTTGCTTTAGATAGGACTCTTATTTTAACAGAATACATTCTACATCTGGAAACAAGAACACTTTCCAGAAACAAAGTATCCTAGAAAACAAGGCGCCATCTACCCTAATTTATTATTATTTTTCTTGACAGTTCTTCTAATTTTTATAAGCTCGCAGAACAATGAATGGAAATTCAATTCCCATCATTTTCTCATTTCAGATTTGATTGGATAATCACCCATGATTTAGTAAAGCAAGTAGATGTAATTAGAAGGGAACAACAGCCTTAAATTCCTCAATTTTCAGTTGATTATACTTGAATGGAAAAACAGCTTTAAGTTGATGTTAAGCACGAACAAACTTCCCAACACAAAAGCTATTAAAACTTTTCTTTTCATTTTTCTTATCACTTATCATAGATTTCTGTTTGCCTTATGGAGACTCAGAATAATTGTTATTGTTCAGTAGAAATCATATGCCACTAAAATATGCTTCTCAGTACATTCAGCCAGGAGAAAAATACTTGTTCATTCTTGCAGATATCTTTGTTATAAAAGCATGCTAGAAGGAATCAAAGTGCGTTTATTACTTCAACTCCTACTTCCAATTATTGTATCATTTAAAAAGTCTTTCTGAAGACTGACATTATAGAGTTAGATAAGCATTATGGAGCCAAATGAGAAGGGTTAAACGTGCCAAGGTGATGCTCTTTTCTGATTGCAGCAAACTATGGCAAAATCAATGCCATAATGTCACATCATCATCATCATAAAGAAATTGAGATTTAAATCTTTAAAGTCCCATCTAGAGATGGGAGAAGAAAATGTAAAAATGCACCATTTCTGCTTGTAAATTTTGCGCTGCCAAGGAAGGGATCACCAGAATACTTATCCTTAAGGTGCACTCTCATAATTCATAAAAAAAACACTGACATCACATTAAGGTTTATATTGGTTATGTGCTAAGTAGATAAATATCTCAAGGACACTTTTCCACCCAAAACCTGAGTGAGCAATACCTTTAACATACCAATTTTACCCAGTTTACAATATGAGGTTTCCAAATGTTATAATTTCTGGTGTTGTTTCTTGCCAACTCTTAATCAGATGTGGAAGAAATATACTATATTTGTTTTCTCATACTTGTTTGATATTTGCTGCATGGTTCGCAAATATAATAGAAAATACAGAGGTCTTCCAAGCAAGTTTCATTACATGATAGTCTGGTCTAATGTAATAGATATATGAATGCAACTTTTCCTAAATATTTTGGATCATATGTTCACCTCAAACTATTTTTCCATGAACAGGCATAGCCACACACAGATTTTATGAAATGAAAGTCTAAGGACAATCTCTACCTGCTCTCATAAGTAGACCAATAAAATATTTTCATGATGGCAGTTAGCAGGAAGCTTTCAACATGCTACTCTTCCTTTATCTTTGGCATTTTGGCCTTCAATGGTTGAATTTTAGTATACATCAGTGCTGCATTGTGATTTGTGTTCAAAATCCCTTTCCTACAAAACTATAAAGTGTTATAGTTTTCATAATTTAATTCATTTGTTTAATTCATTTGCTACTCATACTTTCCAGTGATCTCATGTATTTTTTTCCTTTCTGATAATAAAAATATAACTCTAATAGATAATATATTAGAATATAACAAGAGATATACTGTATAAAATAAAATCTAAATCCATAGCCAGTTTGGTGTAGTGGATGCTGGATTAAAAACTCAAAATTGGACATTCTTTAAAGTGTGGAAGTCAGCTGGGTGACTTTGGGCCAGCCATTGTCTCTCAGTGTTGATTTAACAAGAAGGTGAGAACATTATATATGTCACGTGGGTTGCACTGAACAGAGGCGGGGTATAAGTCTAGTAATGAGGAAGATGCCAATAGGGGAAGCTGTCGAGCAGGCTAAAAGCACAATAATAGCATGCAGAAAATGAAATTCAAAGGGAATTTTGTGTCCTTTTATTGGACATTCCATGTTGCCAGTATGACCAGGAGGCATTAACCCTTTTAAAGACATCCAGATTAATGGCTACCCTTATTCCTTTTCTTTGAGTGACAGTGTACAGTGCATATTCATCATTCATAGTCACTGAATGACTAATAATATGAGATTCTACTTTATGTACTTTGGTCCCCTCTTAACATTTTAGTAAGTGTGGAAATCACAAATATTGTTATTTCCCCCCAGAAGAAAATGCTTTAGCATCCCTCTCCACATTTATTCCATTTTTACAGCATCTGTTTCATGGCCATAAACAGTACTGTATGCACTGATTTATATACTGTAAAGAGAATATACTGGCAGTTATATTTTTGTTCTCTTTCCATTAAATCCCCTCATAAAGTTTGTTTTTTTAGCATCTGCATACAGAGTAGACATTTTCATTGAACTATCTATCCAGCAAGATCTCCTTCCTGGTTAGTTATTTGTTATCAGTTTACTGTATATTCAAAGTCACACTGATTTTGCCCCATAAGGATCACCTTATGCTAACTTACAGTGTTCATGTTTGTATTTTAATATTCATCCACGCTGGATAAATATTTTTGAGGTTCTTCTCTGCCCCTTTCTTATTCATCCTAAATAATTTAAGGTCATCAGCAAACCTGGGCATCTCACTGTGAATTATCTAT